ACCGAGAGTAAGACATTGCGCCGTATATTGTTCTAGCTCGGGTTTCAGTCGGAAGTAGGCACTCAAGAACAAGGTGTTATCATTAGATCGTCAATGTCCACTATTTTGTACATAGTACTCGTAAACTCCAGTAAATGGCCAAAAGTTTTTGGTATCAAGTGGATGGCACGTTTTGAACATAAAATTGGATAAGAAAAGCTAGTTTTTGAGGAATCTGAAATCGCTCACCATGGGGTGGTACATCGCCATTCCTTGACTGCTCTGTTTTCAAGAATGATTAGCTTCCCAAGCGATATTTCGTCAACCGGCGGACACAGATGGGACACAGCACTGCAATTCCGATCTCTGTGTTTCACAGATACGGCCATATGCACAGAGAAGGAAGTTAGAAACGCCGCTTGCAAGTAGACAGTAATGTATTTGCTGAATAGTGGACACCCGAAACCGATAGTGAAACACACATATCACAACATGCTAAAACCACATAGAAAGTGTACGGCGGAATGGATGGGGACGATAAGAGTAATATAGGTAGAAGGAACTTCCTTTTCCCTTCCAATGGCACTAACCAAGGAATAAGATTCGGTATCTGTTCAACAATGGTGTATCTGAAAGACACACTTGTCGTAGATAAGATGGCTAACTACATTCACAAATGTATTCACAATAACTGTGAATATGTGTGTATAGGAGATACCGCGAGCAAACTGCACACAACACTGCTAGAACACCTGAGGCACATGTCACGGCGACATCTAAGTATAATGCTCTATTGTGAGATTCAACGGTGGCGACGCATGTGTTAGGTAGGATGCATGTAAGGTGGCCAGATTGTTTGTGAGCCAAAGCGAGATGCCTCCAGATTTCTTGCACGCCAAACCGAGACACTTAATCTACCCCCGTTTGTTTCTACATATGCTGACCGTACAACACAGTGAAAAGGTAAATATCTACATTTATTGCTTCAATGCAATAAAAAGAAGTTGAGCCTTGGTCAGTCGACCAGGGGAGGTGACGCACGATTGTTTCCATGTTAGAAGGGTCAAACGGTCGATTAGTGTTCACCATGTATCCATACCGAGTGGTGGTGTCAAGTTATCAAGCAGGAATGACTTGGAATGGAGGAATGCAACAAAGGGTAGAAGGCACTGATATTTGTTCATGTTTGATCATGAATCACACACGAAAGGGTCATACGATGTCTTCAAACAGCAGGCGTTTGAAAGTGTGCAGAGCACCGCGTTTTGGGTCACAAAATAAGCAGAATCTGCGGATTTGGCGCCAGTGATCACTGGGTGTTGGGTTGATCACATACGTCTACAGTTGTTTTTGACAAGAAACCATAGCAGGTGAGTGACTTAATTCAATAGTTTTTATATCGACAATAATGAGTTTATCTAAAAACGCTTACGATAATGTCACCTACATTAAATCACGAAAATATTCAAATTTATACATATATATATATATATCATTTAGTAGCCTAGCTTTTTGCAGGAACCATGTCTACTGGAAAAAGCGGTCCTACAAAGAAGCTTTTCGGCAATAGGGCTTCACCAATCTTGTCGATACAAATGTTTAGAAGCCGCAATGTGTTTTGTGCAGCAAAATGCTCACGAGGGAGAGCATTAAACCCAGCAAATTGAGACCACTTCGACCAGTCATTCTCAGTTTGCAGGAAAAGATACTACATTCTTCAAATTTAAAGAAGCTGCGCTCAAAATTTCTCGCCTGGATACATCGGGCCCTTTTTTGCAGTCAAATGCTGCTGGTCTTGAAGCTCAACGCTCTCCGAATCGTCATAAACAAGAAACCGCATACTATAGGAGAGGATCTCATAAAAGCTTGAATACTGGATGCCGTGAAGCTCGTTCTTGGAGAGCAATATGTAGAAATGATAAGCATGATACTACTTTCTGACAATCAAAAGTCGTATCGAGGATATGAGCAAGTGTATTTTGAATAAGGTGCTCAACGAAATAAAGTCAAGTCCTTTCTTCGCAATACGGTTAGATGAGTCGACCGACGTTACATCCTGTTCCCAGCTACTGGTCTATGTTCGGTACATAAAAGGCGACCGCTTCAAAGAAGAGTACTTGTTCTTATAATCACTGAGCACAACTACACGTGGCGATATCTTTCGAACAGTGAAGGATTTTGTCGAGGTAAATGATCTACAGTGGTCGCCGTTGGTGGGTGTCTGTACAGACGGAGCATGTTGGGCGTCCGTCCTGGATTCCGAACGTTAGTAAAAAAAAGTTGCTCTGCACTGTACCTTCAGTCACTGCGTTAGCAGTGAAAACTCTTCCGCCAGTTTTGCTGGACACGTTAACCAACGTAGTGAAAATGATAAATATCATCCGCGGTAGTGCGACATATACAAGAGTTTTCAAAGAGTTGTGCAATGAATTTAGAGGCCAATTCGACGTGTTGTTATTGCACACGGAAGTGCGTTGGTTATCACGAGGCAGGATGTTGCACCGAGTGCTTCCGCTTCGAGAAGATATTGCAATGTTTCTTGAAAGGAAGGAGCTGCATAAGGGTAAGGTGAACGGGTTATACGTCATGATAACAGACAACGTATTTATTTCCAAACCAGCATATCTTGCAGCTTTCTTCGGTGAAATAAATGCACTAAACCTCAGCTTGCTGGGAAATATGGTTAATATTTTGACTGCTCAGGATAAGGTTGCCAGTTTTCTTCGTAAAATGCAGCTTTACCAACGCAGAGCAACAGTTGACGGTGTGTCGATGTTTTCAGAACTATCAATGGTGCTCTCTGGAAGAAATGAAACATGCTCTTTCACAGATGATATAACTTGCCACTTGTCATCACTGGTCCATTCCTTCAGCAAATATTTTCCTAATTTGGAAAATCGCCAAGTAAATGCCTGGGTGCTAAGACGCTTTTCAGTGGATAAGGAAATCTTTCCGGATACTGACATCGAAGCCAAAGCACAATTCCTAGGAATGCGCGAAGATAACGAATTGAAATAAATTTCCAAAGCACACCACTGGTAGTATTTTGGATAAAGATAGGTGGTGGGTATCCATTTCTCTCGGAAAGAGCATTGAAAATATGGATCCCATTTGCAACAACGTATAGACGTGAAAGCGGATTTTCGACAATGGTTTCAATGAAAACAAAAGCAAGGAGTCGTATGAACCTGGAGCAGACTTCCGATGTGCATTAGCAGAAACTGAACCAAAAATAGCAGCAAATGCAAGCACTAAGCAATATTAACCGTCGCATTGATGTATATCGCCCCTTGGTTATCAACAACGTTGTAGCAAATCACTGTTTTCTTCCTTTTATTGATCTATAGTTATTCCAAACAGCTGTCAGTTCCCTTACTTAGAAGCAAACAGCGCGATAAATATTCGTTAGTTATCATTTGAAACGGAAATCGAGGAGGCGGGTTGATTATAGCGAACCCCATTTGTGAGTCTCATAAATGTAAAGAATCTCCGGTGTACAGCAACATGCGTTAAGGATAAGTGTGATATCGCTTCCTAAAAGCACCAATAAAGCCGCGTTCGGGACATCAGCAAGTATACTTTGAACGCGATACTTAATGAAAGAAACTCGTGGATTTTCTTCGCACTACAATGGGGTCTCGTTTATTTGCATGATCGAAAGTAATTACACATGATACTCATTTTTCATAATTTGAAAAAATGCAGCAATTGCTAGCTAATTGGCTTTAGAAGGTTCGGGGGTAACTGCTTAAATTGAATCCGCTTCGGGGGTAACGGCCTCAAAAAGGTTGGGAACCACTACTCAAGCCGGACGGCACATTCGAACTGTGAACAGCTCATCAGGATTCATTCGACGCCCGGTAGTTAGTAAGTGCTTTCTAATAAGCGAGGCAGCTTGGGTTCCCCATTCAACCGACTCCAACTTCCCAGATCCCATGCGGCTGCGTAACAAGTTAGCAACAGTGTCAATTTCAAGAACACATTCCATTGGTTTTTCCGCATCAATTTCCTACTTGGTTATGTTAGAGGAATATTTAGTTGTCACCCAATCATTGGTCTGCACTTCTTATTATCAGTTGTTTCGTGACGTTTGTTTAAACGTTACATTTCGTTATTCTGATTGGCCAGTGCCTGTCACTGTAAATGGATGTTCGCTTTACTCTTGGAGTCCCATGAGGTATTTTTAAGGACATATGCGATTCGCTCTTGAGTACACGGTTGCTTATTCGCCGTTGCATTTGACGTTTTTCCTTCTGCTGGTTGGCTCAAGTGTAATTTAGAAGCTTCCCTTCATTTTGCTTTCGAAACTATATCAGCAAATGTGAGTTCATGCATACGAGTCTCTTTCTGGCTCGTCTTTGGACTTCTTCTTGCGGTCGTGGGACGAAGGCTTCAGTGGCGACACAACAACCGTCTCAGATCCCACCCGGCTGCGTAACAATCTAGGGATGGGCTCGTAAATTCTGACACCTAAACTTTGGGAATTGCGCGTGATGTGGCTATCTCCAGAGGTTCAGGGGATTTGAAGACTGCCCTACTACTACTACTACTACTACTACTACTGCTTTGCTATGGTTAGGAAGTCCACCAGCACCGATGTACACAACATTAGTTAACCACTTAGATCTTTGCGGTCTATGCCACTAAAACCAGTCTTCGTTCACAAATTCGTTTCCGTGGTTTACAAACTTTGACGCGCAAGCATCTGTTGTGCGCTGTTGAAAGGGTGTAATGATGAATAATTTCATGCTCCTCCTAGGGGCGAATATCTCATGAGTGGAAGCGTCATTTTGAAGCACGCGCTGGGTGAATCGTGTTCCAAATTGTGCTGGAGTTTATCAGCCCAGTCACACAACCGCGCTTTGAAACGATTCCTCAAAAAAAGCGCGCAATTTTCTATTGCTTGTGAGCTATGTACTTTGTAGTTCTTCCCAGGTAAGGTTATTACAAAATCACTTGCAGACCATGTGTTGCATTTTCTTTTTTATAAGTTGTTCCAACGCGTTTTCCGTGTGTATTAGGTTCCAAAACCTTCCGGAATTGAATCACTCCATTCTGTCCGGAAGCTGCTCATGGAAGACAATCTGGAACTCAAAACACTAAAGTTGATGGGCAATTTTAGTGACAAAGCAGACAAGATAACGCGTTTAGCGGAGCGGCTTCTAATTGTTCAGCAACTGGACACCAAAGGTGAGTTTGAATGTGCGACTAGCCAATTCGTATCGTTCTTCGCTTTTAACCGAACCTATTATCAGTGGTCCAATGGTTTCTTGCATCCGCGTGATTAGCTGGTCAATCTGAACATATCCAGGTATTTATAAGGGAAACGCTGGTGTATTTACTTGGCGACATGGTGACCATTTCGGTTTAGCTGGCTCCACCATTATCTCTTGACTGCGGACGTACATTTCTCACCATAATGTTCCAGTAGAGATGCGCTTATAAAATAAAACCTACTGGAACCCACCTTGAACAATGAACAATGAATGTATACGGGTTAAGAAGCAATGATTTAGATGTCCCGTTGGGTGGTCTTGCAGGGTTATCGAAAAATAAAATAGCAGTGGGTTATTAACGTTTAGAAGGGGGACTTATCGTTTGTTTCGCTGTAGTCTTGCGATCCGTGTAGTTTCACAACACAAACATGTAACAGCAAAGAAATCCAAAATCCATTCCAGGAGTGGGAAGATGTAGTACTAGGTAACGAAGTGTAGGTAAGTGAGTCATCCAAACCTTTTTTAACTATGGATAGTGATAGTGCACACATGACCGATTCTGGAAGAGCATTCCAAGGGTGACACACGCTGATGGAGAAGAAATTCCTGTGGCAATTCAGGCGGCTGTACTGTTCTGCCGATTGTAGTGAGTGACCTCCCAAGTTGGTAGTACTGCTGAGTTGCAGTAAGGTGCGGAACACATGATGTGGATCGTGCAGTAGTAAGTACATCATTATCAAGTCACTAGGTAAGCGGTGGTAACGTCCGCTGAATACCATCAATTGTTCCAACATCTCTTCGTATTAAAGATGGTGCATTCCAATAACTTTTTTTGATGCTCCAAGAAGGATCTGTGAATACCTTTCACCTCTTTGAGGTGCTCATCGCATGCCGCATCATACGAGAACTCTGGGGATAATAGGAAGGACCGCTTACTTTTTGCAAGGCGCTTGTAAACAAGTACTGGTTGAAATAAATGCTTTCCGACGGTTGCTTACCTCTAAGTATGCTTGCTAGTACGTACTTACATGGCATTGTTACTCGAGTAAAATTCACCCGGAGGCACAATTTCGATCAGAAATTTAGCAGCAATCATTCGAATTACTTTCTACATGGTTACTGAGACGATAAACGTTATTTTGACTCATGCAGTGCCCTCTTCATACGCACTGATTGATGATCCGCGTAAATTAACGGATTACTACTTGGTTCGACGGAGCTGGGCGCAAGCTGGTGCTCCCCAAATTGTGAATGGGGGAAAGCCTTTTTTTGAGAGATAACTGTGAATGAGTCACAGCTGTTCGCGATCGAGATGAATAAGCAATCGCGGATAAGTAGCGGCAGGGTCCTAGAGCGTGGGGATTCTGGGCTGGCCAACGTTTTCTTCATTACTTATCACAGGAACTCGATAGACGCGGGGTCAAAGCCAGTGTAACCCGATATAGAGTCTCTGACCACCCACTTCTGCGACAACACAAGAGTAGCCAACAATGAGCGAATGAACAAGCTGCATGGACATGGTCTTCTATTAAGGCTTATCAGTCATTTAGCTATCAAGAGCTTTCGTGCTCACCAGCAAGTTCGGTAGTGCAGGAAGTTTCTCCTGGCTTCCGTACTGCTTCAGTTGGACTTCTTGTGTGCCGTAAGTAGACAGTTCCTACTCGAAAGCTCTGTTATCCTCACTGTGGTAGTCAGCTCCTAACGGTTCATGATATATTTTAATCTCCCCACTACTTTGAGGGGCATGTCTTTATGAATAAGGCTCTGGCTTTGGTCAACGTATTCAACCCTATTTTTCGGTCTCGCAGTCAAGAAGCTTCATGTCTACACAACTTATGAACCAATGTTTCAACAAGTATTCGCTCGCTTTCTCTGCTTTCTGAAAAGTTTGCTCTTGTCCGAAGTACTGGCAGCCGAACATGCTATCTCGTGGTCTATCGCACCACCGCACAGTTAGTTTATTCCACCTTTGTTCAACACCCCCATTCTTGGTAACCTCCTTCCGTTTACCAGTCAACAACACGTCTTGGGTGCATGTTCTCGCTATACGGGTCAGGAATACAGGTCCGACGGTGCACCGCATGTGGTATCGTCTAAACTTACCCAGCGCCTCGTTCCCAGTTCAAGCTGGTAACATTTACCGTTCGGACGTTGAAGCAAATCGGAGCACAATCCTCCCTTGCTCGCACGCTTGAGACAACTGCCATTGATTTCCGCTGCCTCGATGAAACACGAAAGCCGTCAAACGTTCGGTGGACCAACGATCGCTATCTTTTTAGACCTATGAGCTGCGTTTGACTAAGCTGACATAGCTGCTCTCTGGAGTTGTCTGTTGAGAAGGGGACTGTCCGAGAAGTATGTCAACATTCATCGATCCATCTGTTCTCGAACCTCGGGAGAAGTGCGGGGTACGGCGGACTTTCGCCCCGTTTATTATCACCAGTGGTGTGAGATAGGGCTGTCTAGCAGCACTCTTCCTGTTCAATGTCGCTATGTTTGATATATTGGAGAACGCCCTGGAGAACCTCGGACCCATTAGCTTTGAGCTAGTTCGGGTGACCAATCACGCGAGTTGTAGTATGCAGACCACATCGCTGTAATTTATGATTCATCACAGGCTACCTAAAATGTACTGTGTAGCTTGGAGGTGTTTGTCTTCCAGTTTGGAATGACGTTCGATCCATCGAAGTGCAAAGTCATCCCACAAGACTGGCTACGAGCTGCTCCCATCCTTACCTTTTCAGGTCATTCTCTGGAAGTGGTAGTCAAATTCGTTTGTCTCGGAAGCTGTATCAGCGCCAACGATCTAACGGATGATTTCTCTTTGCGCATCTCTAAGGCCCGGGTTGCGTTTACTAATCTCCTCTCACTCTGGCGTCGATGCGACCTGAGTCTCTCCTTGCCGGGCCGAGTCTACAATGCCACGGTAAGAGCGGTCCTGCTGTACAGTTGCGAGACTTGGTCTGTTCGTAGAGAAACGTCCAGAGGCTGCCTGTCTTTGATCACCGTTGCATCCGGAGCATTGTTGATGTACCAGGACAACCTCACATTATTAATGAGGATGTTCGTCGATGGATTTTCAGATCAGACAGACTGCCGGCTGATGGGCAGCATACATTCTCTTCACCTAATTCGGTGACCTGAGCACGCGCTTCATATGCCAACTGAGAGTTTAGCAAGCGGTGAACTTTTCGCGTGCGTAGGCGTCAACTGGAAGCGAAGCTAAGTTGATCAATGAATGAAAGTTGGGAAAGTATAGTGGCGCTGACCTCACATTTAGTCGCGAGCGGGCGCCGTTGCTTACGTGGCTGGAGCTCATGGAGCACGAATACACGCGGAAGAAAACCCTATCGTGCACTACGGCTAACGTGTGAGATACTACTCCCATAACTAAATGCTTTACTTATTTCCTCTCTTCCTCTCGCTTCATTATCTCTGTGTTATATTAGTACACATATTCTGACACCCTACCAACTATATTATGGCTAAAGTGCTCAGTGTATGGTTTTCTCAATAAACAACTGGATAAGGCAATTGCATTAACTGGAGCACATTTCAGAAGCAATCGATTCCGGCTATGCAGTAGTAATATTGTTTCTTGACATACACCAAGCGTTTGACCGAGTACCGCACAAGCAACTGCTATAAAAGTTAGAGACCATTGGGATCAAGGAACCATTACTACGTTGCCTATCGTCATACCTGAGTGATCGTCGTTGAAATGTTGCCTGGTGAAAGGTTAGTTAATCCTGATTATGCGGACGATATCGTTTTGCTTTTCGACGATGTCGCGGCGGCACAATCAACCCTAAATAGCCTGTCTAGAGTGGCATCATTATTTGGCATGCAATTCGCACCTTCAAAGTGCAAAGGGTTGCTGCAGGACCACCAGCCACTTGATGACCCCTTGACGCTTGCTAACGGGGAACTCGAGGTGGTTGATCATTTCATTTATCATGGCAGCTGCATCAGCAATGATGGGTAAAGACAGACTGACGTCAGCTCGCACATTGCAAAAGCCAGAGCTACCTTCTTGAACCTTTGGCATCTTTGGCGACAGAAGGGAGTTACCCTCCGTCTGAAAGGCCATGTATACAAGGCCACAGTGAGGGCCGTTCTGCTCCATGGTAGTGAGACTTGGTCCCTTCGGTCTGAAAATCTGAGGCGCCTTCAAGTCTTTGATCATCGTTGTCTGCAAAACATTGCTGGTGTCGGATGGCATCAGCGTATCCCTAACGATGATGTGCGTAGGCGAGTACTAGGTAGTGATAATCATGCTAGCTCCATAGAACAAGAGGTAGCACGGAGTAAGTTGCGTTGGCTCGGACACATGCTACGTATGCCTGGTCACCGCTTACCTAGGAGGGTTTTCAGTCTACCAGGTGTAGGTTGGCGCAAGGCTCGAGGTGGACAGAAGTTGACTTGGCAGCAGGAAATGAAGTCACTGACGACCAAACTGGGTGCCGTTGGTCCGTCTCGCCTTCCAGGCTGGAGTCCACGTGACTCGCCTTGTGCTTGGCTCGAGACTTTACAGGACATGGCTCGCAGTAGACACCAGTGGCGCGTCTGCTGCCGTCTCCTAATCGGATTGCCTGTTTAAAGTGTGTTTGATGCTGTGTTATCTGCGGTGTAATGGCTGATTATGACGCGTGGCAGTGAAAGCCGCAAGGAAGCTGTCTCGCCGATGCCGCCTTTGCTTTGCACGATAGCCAGCTGTTTGTGACGGTATGTTGTTAACACAAGGTGTAGGCGCCTTGACCCCGGATGTTAGCTTAGACCATTAAGGTTTTCAAGTAAGTCCCTCTTCACTCCCTCTTCTTATTCTTTATTTCATAGATCCTCATGGCTGTATAGTAGCGAAGCGTCAGTTCAAATGGCTGATGTACTGCTGTTGCTGCTGCTGCTGCGCTGATGATGATGATGATGATGATCATGATCATGATCATGATGATAATGATCGTCGTAAGGTAGTCAATTTAGGTGATTTTCGCACTTCCCCACGCTCAATCACTAGTGGAGTTATTCAAGCGAGCGTGTTCGGCCCCTTACTCTTTTTGCTCTACATCAATGAC